CCCCAAAACCCCAAAACCCCAAAACCCCAAAACCCCTTTCTATCAAAGAATAACTGAAGAATCGTTAAATTGTACTATTAACTATGTTAATCAACATGGCCTCATTTTTGGTATTCTCCTCCACAGACGTAGCAGAATTGGTAGCTTCACCTACAAGTGATATGATCGCATCCCTCAGACTTTTGGACCCAATATTTTCACTTGGTGCATCGTTGGAACTTTTCCTTCTTGATCATTCAGACTGTGTCAAGGTCTTCGGGTGAAGACTCTTTGATTTGTTTGAATTCTTCGCAAGAGAAGCCTTGATGCCATTTCTCTTTGCATTTCAAGCAGAATGTTTCTGAGCAGATAGTACATTGGTGCTTGTAAGGCCCCTTTGAGATGTCCCACTCGAACACGTATTGGCAGTCAGGTGTTGGTCAGAAGTGGTACAGGTCTGGATTTTGTTCGCAGAAGTGCTCAAATTCAAACCTTTCGTATTTCTGATAGAGTTTCTCGTCTCAGATGTTCTTGAAATCTGATTCTGGCAATTTGCTAAGACAGTCTCTCATGGGGCATTTGAGTGGGAATGACTTTACTTCAACTTTGGATCTGATGTACATCTCAAAGCACTCAGCGTGATACATATGTCCACATTGAGTCAATGCCATCTCTTTTACTTCAATCTTATCATAACAAATGGGTCACTTAGAGTCTTTAAATCATATAGGAGTTTTCTCCAAATCTATCAAATTCTGTCTCTCCTTCATTTCCATACTCATACCTTTAGCAGCGCTAGTTACAGGTACTTTCTCTTCCTCTTTAGGCTCCTTCTCTTCTTCACCAGCAGGCCTAGATTCTTCCTCATATCATTTCTGAATAATCGCCAGAGCTTCTTGAACTTTCTTAATTTCCGATAACTTTCTATTTTCTTGTGTATCTTTCATAACTTCTACTTTAGAAGTCCCTTTTGACTTCTTACTAATTTGGTTGCGCAATGTTTTGATGGTTTTGGGGTTTCGAGGTGAGTCTACTGCTGACGGAGCCTTTTTGACCAACCGGGGTGATTTTGAAGGCTTTTTGAGCTTGGTCATGCGGATTGTGTGGGCAGTGGTGGGCCGAAGATAGCTGTGGGTTTTGGGTTTTGCAGCAGAGGGGGCTTTGGATGTGGTTGGCTTGGGAGTCATTGTGGCTGGCACTGCTGTGGATGGACGCTGGTGAGGGATTGTAGAGGAGGATTTGAAATAGGAGAGTTTTAGTACGTCTTGAGCTCTGACTTGAGTGTAGAGAGTCCTGAAGATTCTTAGAGATTCAACGCTTCCACTTCCAGAGGAGGTGACTATTGACTGGAGCTTTTCTATGAGTTCTATGACTTCTTCGAGTTTGAGCTGCTTTTTGAATTTAGTGAAGAGAGCACCCATAACAAACATGAGGGTGTGGTCGAATCCTTCACATTTCGATTGAACTGAGCTTAGCATTTTATTTAATGGGTTCGAACTAGTGTGAGAAATATATAAGCTGGACATTTGAGTTTTATGCTTTAATAATTTAATAAAGACTTTGTCAATATCTATTTATAACCACGGGGTTTTGGGGTTTTGGGGTTTTGGGGTTTTGGGG